TACGGGGTACATATCAGGCCCCAACATTAATGGTTGTCCGATTGCCAGGGACAAGTAATTTCTTCTTTCAGGCAAGTAAAAAATGAAGGACAAATTGCCTGATGGACAGGTGCTTTTTTCTTGAAAATAAAAGTGTCCATTTTTCATGGCTAAGAATAGGAGTCAGTAAATTTACGTTTTATTGATTTTTTTCTCTCCACAAAAGCTTATAAAAAGTGGTAAAAAGTATACAGCTACATGTGCCGGTATGTGGTGTACAATGTTTGTTTGCATCGTTACGTACTTACGTATTTAGCAGGGCACCTTTCCACACAAGGGAAATGTGTATACAAATAAACTGTACCTTTATGTCTGGGTACCAAACCTCACTGGTTATTGCACGTGCGGCGCAGCAATGCTTTGACGGCCGGAAGCTCAAAGACTGTTATACATGTGGCTGTGACTTCAACATGAGTGAATTTTGTCTGGTGCTTGTGCGTATATGAGTGAATTTTGCCTGGTGCTTCTGCGTATACTTTTTGAATAAATGAAACCAGGCAAAATCGTCGAGTGGTTAAGAAATAGCCGTTGCCTGAACTTGTATGAATGATGCATGAGCGTCCTGCATACACACAATACTAGTGCAATAGTTGAGGGTGATCAGCCAAGAAGGAACTTACTGTCCCGGGAAGCAGTGAGAAACTAAGCCAGGGTTTGGGCATTAAAATCTTACCTCGGGCAAGTAAATTTTCAGTGCCACTTGCCCGATGGACAGGTAGTTAAAAAAAATTGATGTTGAGGCCCGAGTACACATTTACGCTGATCTACGATTGCAGGTGGTAAAACATCAACTCAGCACGAAGATTTCTGCAAGTTTCACAGAACTCAATCTCTTGTCTATGTTTTTTCTGTGTTCACGACTTTAATTTGAATTTGTTATGGAAGTGAGCATGATTCCACAAAATTTCCTACCCGAACATGAGGTTCATAGCCCACCTCACAAGATGCATCATGCATGCTTACCATGCCATATGTATGGACAATGTTGGCCAGTTTCCCATCGTGACTACTAGACTAGCATTTTGCACATGTACCGTACATGTACATGTAGTGGAATCAAATTAATGCCCATTGCTTTTAAGAATTATCAACTGCAAAATACATGTACATACATGTACATGTACTTCTTATATTGATTAAGTCTAGTTTTTGTCACTTTTTGTGGCAACTACAAATTCATATATACAATGTACATGTATATGTACATGTACAGTATGTAATACCTTTTCATTACTGTAACCATGAAACAAGCCCAAAACTTTCAGGCTTAGCAGTGCTGTAACTGGTCCTTCTGTAACTTTTCTGAACAGCCATGGGACCATTACCAGGGACTTCATGCATTATTCAACTTGTCAAGGGATCACATCACTGATGAATCCTACATGTACATGTACCAGTAAATGTATGATGCTGTCATTGAACATTCCGGATGGCCCCCATTAATGGCAAATACATGTACATGTACCAATAGCACTGTGTTGGGTTTTCCCCTACAACAGCTTTCACAATGTTTCAGATTGCAAGTGAGGGGGGCCACTGGAAATAAACAGCAAGAGCGTTACCATGGTCACTGGGTTTTGTACAACATGTACAAGTACATTTTGTTAATGGCAAGCCCCTTTCCCCAAGCTCCTTTCCCCAAGCTCCATGCACATGTATGAGGTCAAAGTTTCGAAGGGCTTATGGTAGCATGTACATTAAAAGTGCAGATGAAGCAGGAAGATGTGCTTACATGAACATGTACGTGCTCTCACCAATAGTGTACACTCTTCATAACCTACTGTACTTTTGTGATGAATAGGCCACAATACAGGAACATATGCAGTACATGTCCCTGTACAATACACGTATATGTACGTGTTAAATAGGTGGGGCCCAATATTGCCATGGGCCACAATAAGCAATCACTTTACACCTGCATGTACATGTAGATATACATGTATGTGCATACTATATAAATGGCTAATTACGTTGCAGTTGGCTGGCTGGAGCGCACAACAACTGCACCATTGGCTGCCTCAAAAAATCCATGAAAGTTCAGACATGAGTCAATCTGATTGACTCTGTGTAAGCACATCGATGGAACCCAACAATTTTCCCTTTTTGGGGGGAGAAGATAGAGAATTGCTGCATACCGGTACATGTACATGTACAGTCCCAAATCAGCAGAATTCTGCTACCGAGACATGTGTAAAGGCATATAGGCCTATATACGGTACATGTACAAAAAAGATAAAGTCCTATCGGTACCAAACCAAGAACAAAAATTATCTTTCTGAAAATGATGCGACTCACAGCTGTTGTGCTGTTCTTCTGAAAATTTGGTAAATTAAAAACTGTACTTGACGTTAACAGTAAGGTCATTTTAATAATGGCATAAACAGTTGCATAAAACATCTGCAGCATTATACGTACATGTTATGACATGCTGAAGTGCAGCCGTTATATTCAAAGCCATGTTCTGCCCACCTCACATGCCTCAGTGTCTAGACATGCTAGACAGGCAATTTCAGCTTTTACTGAACGCTTGACTTCCCAATGCTATGGAACTTGGATCAATTACATTATCTGATGATCTCCTTAGAGCAAATTTGCATTTGACCACCATATCTGTCCCTAGGTGTACATATATAAGTGTTGTTCATGTAATGGCACATAAATCTATGTGCATGCAGGGCAGATGGGAGGGGGGATAAACGGGAGCCATGCCCCCCCTCAAAAAAAAGAGGTTTTTTAATCAAGAAATAGAACTTTAAGACATGAAGTGTCTTAAATGGAGGTTGTTTTGTGTGGAAAGGGCCATTTCGTTCAGGTACAATGTACAAGTAATTGTTTCTCTGCTTAACTGTGACTAGTACATTAATGCGAGAGTGCAGCAGGGATGCCGCTTACTTGTTCCCACTGGGAATAAACAGCAAGAGCGTTACCATGGTCACTGGGTTTTGTACAACATGTACAAGTACATTTTGTTAATGGCAAGCCCCTTTCCCCAAGCTCCTTTCCCCAAGCTCCATGCACATGTATGAGGTCAAAGTTTCGAAGGGCTTATGGTAGCATGTACATTAAAAGTGCAGATGAAGCAGGAAGATGTGCTTACATGAACATGTACGTGCTCTCACCAATAGTGTACACTCTTCATAACCTACTGTACTTTTGTGATGAATAGGCCACAATACAGGAACATATGCAGTACATGTCCCTGTACAATACACGTATATGTACGTGTTAAATAGGTGGGGCCCAATATTGCCACGGGCCCCCCTCAAAAAAAAAAAGAAAAGAGGTTTTTTAATCAAGAAATAGAACTTTAAGACATGAAGTATCTTAAATGGAGGTTGTTTTGTGTGGAAAGGGCCATTTTGTCATGTAATTGTTTCTCTGCTTAATTGTGACTAGTACATTAATGCAAGAGTGCAGCGGGGATGCCCCTTACTTGTTTTGACCCCCCTCTCCCCTGTGCATAAATCCTAACATTATCCTGCAACTGAACTCAGGACTTAGGATGAGGCCTTGCTCCAAGATTGGTCTTTGCTAAGAGGCACTCTAAGATCAATTCATTAAATGAACCCTGAGCAAGATGCATTAAAACTACATGTGTACTGATTTGAACAATGGCTGTTTCATATCGTTGGCAAGAAGAATGCAAACCTAATTTTCAGTGCTCGCATGTGCGTGTATGGAACATGCACTTTTGCCCCCCCCCAAAAATTTCCTACTTAATAAATTCATAGGTGGGTAGTTCTATGCAAAAGGGTGTGAGAATTCAGCTTTTCACCTGATTTCAACTTTTTTCTGTTTCAATTTTTACTCTGAATTTCAGTTTTTTGTGCACCTGCTTGGGGCAAAATAATAAATTGAAAACATAAACTTTTCTAGCTTTTTTCAGCTTTTTTGGTATGTGGCCACTCACTTCACACGTACCCGTGTGCACAAGATACGATTAAGATTTACATGTATGATCCCCATTATTTAGTTTGAAAATGAATAAGTGTTGGCATAAATACATGTACCAGTAAGCTACATGTAGTTTTTACATGTACTTTTATTAAAACAACCATATCAGAAATCTTTCGATATCTGTTTCTACAGTGGTTTCCTTTTGGAAACTGTTAACTCTAGGATGACGCTCATCTTTAATAGCAATGACGTCCAGACAATACACAAATTAATGCATGCAGCATTAAGGAGATAATACTGTATGACACTTGGCCTGATTTTAAGATGAGACAAATTCAGTAGCGCTGCTAAGGAAGTTGGGACGTGCTCTTTGCATCTTCAGTTTGGGGAAATCAATTCTACATGTGTAGGTACTGGTACCGGGTAGAGTCATGAGTTAAGGCGAGTCACCCTTCCTTAAGACATGTCTTAGCGTTTTGTGAATCGACCCCTGGCTCTACACTTTATGCATTCCTGGCTCCTCGTTCTGAGACCTGGGGATGAAGTGAAATCCAGCCAGTAGAGAGACACATCCTGAAGAGAAGTTGTATGTTGAAGTTGAATCTGTTAGATCAGGGGCCTTCCAGATGACTGCCCTCACGACCACAGTTATCATCTTGCTACCAGTAGTCTTGGTTTTGTTTGTGCATGTACAAACTGCTGGGAAGTACTGGAGCGAAGTGACCTGACTGAGTGAACATCAAGAATTCCACATTTTTTGGAGTCAAAGCACCTAAAATCTGGACAAATTACTCATGAATGGCACCCATGATACATGTAGGCAAGAGGCTGGTCTGTATGCTTCCCTAGTCCTGTACACTCCTCCCTTACCAAGTGCTACAAGTACACGTACATTTTGAAGGAGCTTGAAAGGTAACAACTTTAAAAAGAAATAACAGCAAGCACTTTTTTTTTTACTCTCATAGCTGTTTTTCAGATCTATCTCGAAAACACTTCAAACTGGGATGAAATATGAATTATCACAGCCTGGACAGGATGAAGAAAAAAACAGAAGCTGAGCCCACCTTCATAAATATCTCTGACGCTGTCAAAATAGACGTAGTAATGGTCCTGGCTGAAGAAGAGCAGGCTGAGCCAAGAGTCAAATGCGTAGATGGGAACGATGAAGAGGATGCGGACTATCCAGCGTTGTTCCCCTGGGCAGGTGTAGTGCCGAAGATGCATGTAAATCTGTGGAGAGTGGACACAGTCAGAGACTGGCCAGTTAATATTGGGAGTGGACAATTTATGGCTCTGCCCGCTAATGGAGACACGCCATTGAATTGGGTCATTGCAAGAAGTGGCTATATATTTCTGGTTCAAGATATTATACCAGTGAAGTAATAACGCCGATGCTGTTGATTTATCTTTGGGACAACATGATGTCAAAAGTGTGTTCAAGATCATTTTCAGGGTTTTCAGAATAATGTTGGTTCCCAGTAGCAGACTGTGGATCCCAAAGTTTGTACAGTAATTTCTTTATGATTCCTTTTCCAAACAAGCATACAAGTGTGCATGTATACACCACCATTTGTACATGTACATGTCATTGAAATTGAGAAATTTGATCAACTTCAATAATTCCATATTCAAACATCTGAATTTCATTCATTTCTATATTTACCAGTTCAAATATTTGGGTTGAATGCAAAAACACACTAAAAATTCATGCCCAAAAAAACAAGCAAAAAAAACCCCTGCAAACTGTAATTATTACAAATATAATTCCCCTTTTTTTACAGGGCTTGGACATCAACCCCCCCTTCCCCCGTATTGCACTTGCACACATGTATACGTATGAACTGGTCTCCCCCACCACAGACTACACAGTATAAATGTACAAATGTACAGTGCATCCAAAAACAATAGCACACAATTTCAGAAGGGATTGGCATTCATTAACATTGAAATGTTACATGCACACATACTGTACTTGGCTTGGGCGGTCGAATACCGCGGTTTTGTTTTTAATACCGAACAATACCGACTAACAATCCATGAATACCGGAATACCGACTTATTCAGTATTGAAGTTCAATACCGCGGTATTCTGGCTAATTTGTTCAGAATGTTCCCACAACCCTCATAAAATGAAAGCAGACAATTATACAAGTCACAACAGTGACTGCATACTTTGCGGTTTCAGTCATCCAGCATCACGTTTGTATTGTCTCTTTTGGTGAAGAGATAAGACATAAAGTGATACTTCAACATGCAGCCATCAACCTGTCTGTCAAAAGGTTTTGTTTCCCTATCGCCGCTGTCAAGTTTGCAGTTTGGAATAGCTTGTAGGCAGTGCTTCTTGTATTGCTCGTTGGCACATGTATACACGTACATGTATCACAGCCCTACAGATTGGGAGTTAAAAATCAGCTGGTCTTCCGTGTCCGCACTGGACTTTATTTTCCGAAGATTTTTATTGGCGGATCAGAAAATGCGAATGCTACTTGTGCTAGCCTTGTGCTCTCTTTGGGTCTTTTTTTGTCCTTTATATACAACATGTACAAGTATTGTGTGAAAATCTATCTAACCGAAGCCAGGAATGTGTGTTATAAACTATAAAATGATTCCATAAATCTACATCTATTCGACATCCATGGCAATCAACGATCTTTTTAACCACACGAAAAGAGAAGCAAAAACCCGATTCCTCACTTGTCACTGCTTGTATTTCAGTTTTTCTGGAATATAAAATTAGGACAACGTGGTTGATCAAAAAGATCTCTCGGTTATGATTAATCAAATACCTTGTGATGTGTTTAGAATAATAAATTTCACTGTCATAGGACAACATGTTTAATGTGCATGTGAAATTTAAAAAAGCAAATACATGTGAAAGCATCAATCCAGGGATTTTTAAAAGTCTTTCAATCGCACTGGATGACGACAAAGCCAACAGTAACTAACCTGCATGCACATGTAGGCCTGGATGTACCTGCAAGAATATGATGGCTCATCAACTAAAGCCCCCATCCATGTAAGTAGTCTTTCCAACACAAATTGTGTCACGAAGAGACATTTTTTGTTTAATTTTTTGCACCTCTTTTGATTTTTGACACAAGCTGCATGACACGATTGATTGGTAATCCGAGATCACTCGCCCACTGCGGCACGGTCGCCCGCACGTGAGATGGTCACTGAATAAGCATGTCATGAACGAGTACTGCGATTGGATAGCTGTGTCTTGCCAAATGTACGACATGAAAGCGCACAGTCTCATTGGCGGGCACGCTAGATCTCTTTGCAGCAATATAAATAATTCAGTGTTGGGCAATTAGTTGGACTCTTGAGGTACGAGAATAGTCATGCAAACTTATTTGGGGCATATTTTATCGGAAATGGGATGGGAATTTTTGTTTTGGCGTTTGTGTAATGAATGTAAAATATCATGGATTTTTTAATCGTGCACTATGCGTGTCATGACAACAGGAATCTGGCAACCGATGTCTGTATATCGCGTTGTAAGCGTGCGTGCGATAAGCCTTGTGTTGCACGACTGGAAATTTTGTGGAAGCACGCTTGCTTGAGTAAAAGCAGTACAACCTCAAATTAAATTCATAAGCACAGAAAACACAAACATAGACATGAGATCATTTTTTAGTGAATGAACCTGCAGAAAAATTTGTGACGGCAGTGTTTTTCGACTTGCAACTATAGAGTTGCATTCGATGTAGTGGAACGTACGACCCTTTTTTGGCAGAGCCTGTACATTGACTGCTTGCCGCATTTCCATCATGCCTTCATTGGCAACGGTGCAATGCTTTATAAATGGGTCATCAAGAATGGTTTTTCAGGCAACGGAGTCACGAAAACCTTTCGTTGTACCAGGAATTTCGTACAATGCTATTTCGCTGTAACATATTTTCTCCCCATAGAAATATGCACGTTTTCACTGGGACCACAGATTTGTGCTTGTTGTAATCGGAATTTTGTTACAACTGATTTCGTAATAAGAGTCGACTGCCGCATCGCAGAGTTTTTTGAAAGCCACCTTACCACTGCACACGCGCAGTGTTAGGGCGCAGCTAAGAGAAGCAGCCACTATTGACCCGCACGTAATCATTACAATAACTGTCTCAGCGAGTACCAACTTGACTGCAGCACATGTGCAGATTTTGACACCGTATGAGCATGGAAGAATAAAACATGTACGAGTGACCACACAGATATAGGAATCGCGGAGCAACAAATCGGTATTTAAAACACCGTCCCTTTTTTAAAAAATAATTTTTATTTGACATCAAATGGAGAGAAAAATTAAAATAGTTATCAAGTTTAGGGGGTTTTGTGACGTTAACCCTTTTTTATGCTGGCCCCTAGTGTTGTTTGTGGTTTGCCATTGAATGCCAGCATCGATGCTGCTTTTTGATGACGTCATTGCCTTCTGCAACGAATACCGCGGTATTAGTAAATACCGCAGCATTTTTTTCATGGATACCGCGGTATCGAAAAAGGCAATACCGCCCAAGCCTATATTGAAAATAACAATTTAAACCATATGTCACAGCCTACATGAGGCCACGACCCTGTGTCCCTGGCCTCCTCATCCACTGTTTTGGAATTCCGCCCGCAGCTAGAAACACCGCAAAGCGTGTGAATTTTAATATTGCAGACCTCTTTTATTCCTTACTGAAAGGCACATGTAAAGCATCAGTATTCTACGCTCGCCTGCCTCCGTGCACTCAGAGCTGAGCAGGCACTGCAGTGACGTTCGCTGATTTACTGCACAAGAGGATGATGCAGTCTAAGTGTATTAAGGAAGATGCAAATCAGTCATTTTTACCATATGGTGCACAGAAATTTCTTCAAGGAAAACAAAAATGATGATTTGTACCCCAGGGGGATCTTGGTACATTTGATAAATATATGCCAGAAATACGTGCATCCTGGGAAATCAATTTGCTTGAGGCATTAGATCTTTGGTGCCAATTACACCTTGTATGGACAATGCAGTCACGATTCAATGCAGAGCACATCCATTATGCTTCACTATAAAATTTCTTTCTGTTCTTTGGTTGAAACATTCCGAAAGTCTACCACTGTACGTGTAGTACATTGTACATACAGTACCCATCATGTGTGGCACTCAACAAAAATCTTAAGAAAATATCAATCACAATTGTTGCAATGCTGTGATGCAAGATGAAACAAAAGTTACAAAAACTTGGGAAGATTTTCCTCAGAAATCTGGTGAGTAGAAGTAACTACAAGTACATGTGTTTCACACAAATTGCCCATTTAGATAAAATAACACATCATTATCGAAAACATAAACTCCACTACATGCTCCATTTGAAACCTGAAGAGCCAACAAAATCAATATTCATACAGTAAATATGGGAAAGCACAGTTTAAGGCTACAAATGTTATTGACATGTATTTTTGAAATGATACAATGTAAATGTACCATGTACAGTACGTATAAAAAAGGAATACATAGGTTATTACTAGTACCTCTGTAAAAATTCTTGATTACAGTGTATGCAAGTGCCCAAAATTCACCACTTCAAAAGGACCGGGGTACTGTAATATTAAGCCTCTCTCCAAAATACATGTACTTAGTTCTCCTTGATTTGGTACAAAACAGGAAAACCCTAAAATAAAATACCTGTGCATGCGAATCAGTGACTTGGGTGTAACACTGCTCAATCAATATTGAATTTTTGAAGTTAGTATATTGTGACTTGCACCTGCCGCTGGCATACAGGCAGTACAAGTGCAGTCTGTAGGGTAATGTTAAATGAAAATCCAATTTCACAAACCAAATCCCAGATCAAAAACTGAAGTACTATCTGGAGTCTACCTGAAATCAACGCTGACGTACATGTACATGTACTACATGGCGAGTATACTGGTGACAGAGTGCACACACCGGGTACCCTATGAACCAACCCTGATCCTGCAAGGCGGTAAGGGTTATGTTTAAATGAGAGCCAATACATGAAGATAGAGATGAGGATCTTAATGAATGATCGTTTAATGGCAATTTTGCAAGTGTGAGGACTATGTGGGTGAGTTTAAGAGCTTGCAAATATGTGATGCAATAAATACATGTAAGCTGCATGTCAGCATGTGGTGCACTGTTGGACAAATTTACTCAAAGGTTGATGAGTGAGAGACCCAGAAATCAAAAGTACATGTACACATATACAAATTATAAATACATACACGTACATGTAGCTCACTTGTCA